GCACACAATTCAAGGTGAATGATTTATTAATAGTGGCTATTCCACTTGCTACAATAAATACATATATATATATACATATACACGCATATTGTAATGTCTGCCGCCTTGCACGCACATGCCATCCAATTTTAATCAATAATTAGTACTTTTATTATAATTACTAAAAATTACACTATCTTATTATTTAATTATTTTTGTTATTATAATTCCTAAGTTAAGATCTATTTATTTAATTTTAAAATAATAAAATGTACACCACTGTATTGCCTAATATATTTATTATTACAATTATTAAATTTAAGACAAACTTATCATCATCACCCCTATATATAATTCCCGAATGCGCTGAGCCTAAGTGGCAGACTCTCATGCTTCGGGATCCTACGTGTCAAAATTTCATGCTTCATTGTTTGGCTTGGATAGATTTTAATTTAATTTTAATCTCAAAATAATTAGGTTCAGATTACCATAAATATGTTGATTTATTTATGATCATTTTAGATTTATTAATTGTACTTTAATATCATTTCCTATTATAACAATTGAGTTGTAAATGTATTTTAAAAGTTGATAACTTTTGTATTTCTTATCGGTTTTATATATATAATATATCAAATTAATCGTCTTTTGATAAGCTTCGATTTGATATCCATTTTATATATATATAATAATTAAATTATATTTATGTTTATAATAATAATAAAATTGTATATTAAAATTAATTAAAAAATAAAATTATTTCTCAATTAATATATTTATGTTTAACGTAGTTATATGTTATAAATTAGAAATCATTATTATAATATGACACATTTAAGTCACATAAGTAACAAGTGTCATACTAAAATATATAATAATATATATATTTTTTGTAAAAACTATTTAAATTTTCAACAACTTTTTTCTCATTAGTTTTAAATTTTAAGAAAAAATTTAACAAGCACCCGTGTAATACACGGGTGTTGTACTAGTTTACTTTGATTAATATAAAAAGAATCTACACTATTGTATAAATTTATAAAGTATTTTATTTTGTGGAAATAGAGCAGTAAATATCGTCGTCTATACTTATATTAAAAGTTATCCTATTTACTAAAATTAGTAGAAAAAAAATAGGTCAGCATTTAATGCAACCCATAAATAGTAGTTTTATTATTTTCTTTTATTTATTTAAAAATCATACAATTTAATTTTTAAATACGCTTTAATATAATCATACAATTCAATAATACAATTTAATTTATAAAAATTATACAATTTATTTTTTCTTTAAAAATACGCTTTAATATATATATATATATATATATATATATATATATATATGTGTGTGTGTGTGATATGTGTGTGTGTGTGTGTGTGTGGTACTTTTTGTAATAAATTTGAATAAAATGTGTTATTTAAATATCTAAATAATTGAAAAATTCAAATGTTTAAATCAATTGATAAACAATTTATAAATCTCTATTTTATTTAATTTTATTTAAAATAATTTTAAATATAGCAAAAATTATTTAGAAAATCGTATCGATCCTACCAGTTCAACTGACTGGTGTTGACGGATTCAATAGCAAATATTTTATTCAAGTGAACTAGACTGATTATAAACTGGTTCTCGGTTCATTCGGTCGGACTGTGTCCAACACGGTTTAATTTTAAAATGATGGGTAAATTAATCTTGATTAATTTATTTGTATATTTAATTTATAACACAATCGTAATATTATTTTTTCGTGTATCGCACGGGCCACGCACTAGTATTTCGTAAATGATGAAATATCAGACTCTACTTTTTATTTGCTATTTAATTTATGCTTCAATATTTGTTATTTAATGTATGCTTCAAAGAAGAATAATGTAGGAAGCAAACTTTTAAGACTTTTTAAGATTTTTGAAATATCAACAAATCTTAAAAAATCATAATAACTTTCAGTCACAAATAAGTGAGATTTTGTATGATTTTTTTTCAAAACTTTTGGCATATTGTTCATGAGGATGTCTGTTCTGCTGTTTCTAGCTTCTTTGCTTCAGGCAGAATCCTTAGAAATATTAATCATGCTCTGATTACTCTCATCCCAAAATGTTCAATCCTATCTCTGTTTCTCAATTCAGGCCTATTAGCCTCTGCAATGTCATATACAAAATAATCTCCAAAATTCTGGCTTTAAGGCTAAAACCTTGTCTCCCTGACTGTATTTCTGAATTTCAATCTGCATTTCTTCTCCACAGATAGATCTTAGATAAAGTGATTTTAGCTCATGAAGTTTTTCACTTTCTGAAAACTCATAGATCTGGGAAAAAGTACTATATGGCTATAAAGATTGACATGATCAAAGCTTTTGATAGAGTCGAATGGGACTCTATTAGACTTATTATGTTGAAAATGGGTTTTTGCACAACCTTTGTGCAGTGGATTTTGCAGTGTGTGTCATCTGCTTCATTCTCTTTCAATATTAATGGTGAGGTGTGTGGATTTGTTAACCCTTCTAGGGGGATTAGACAGGGGGACCCTTTGTCCCCCTACATTTTTATTCTTATTTCTGATGAGTATTGAATGTCAGGAGTAGGAAGGAGGATGACAGAGAGATAAGATAATAAGATTAATTTCGTCATTCTTTAATTTATTTTACATTGATTTAGTTTTTAGTTAATTAATAATTTTTTTTTTTTTTTT